TGGATGGATGGTGGATGGATGGATGGATAGATGGATGGGTGGGTGGGTGGATGGATGGATGGATGCGTGGGTGGTTGGGTGGGTGGATGGATGGATGGATGGGTGTGTGTGTTTTTTCCAATATTCTGATCCTCTTCACTTTGACTTCTGTGTTTCATTAAATACATGAACTTCAATCAACCTTTATTTATACAGGTAAATCCCATTGAGCCTCGAGGACTCATTTACAAGAGAGACCTGATTTCAACAAAGAAAGATGACAACAATGGACAAAAACTTCTGTTAGTGCTTTGAGTGCAAAGCACCATTTTGTAACAAAATAAAATAAAACACCTCCTTTGTTGTTTTCCTTCCACCTTCCAGGCTGAAGATGTTGGAGATCAAGGCAGGTGTGGATGGTTTCATGGTGTATGACCTGAACCTGATTAAACCAATGCAGGAGGTATGAAGAGCTGCTCGTCATCTCCACAGTTTTACTTCCACTCACCTTCTTCATGAATACCAAGGTTCTATGTCGTATAAGCTTCGCCCTTTAAGGCCTTCGCTTTAGTGGGTTTATCCCATTATGCAGAGCATAAGCACTGAAAAAATTAGTCCACGCCCACCTGCTGTGTGGGCCCCACCCGGTCCGTATAAATTACGTTAAGAGCGGGAAATCGGCTCCCATTTTTTCTTCAGCAAGCTAATATAGCACTGTCAGAAGAACAAAGAGGATAAATTGTGTAAATGACCAACCTTTGTGAAGGACGCTTGGCCCGGCAGTCGACCTCCGGTCGTCCGGTGAGTTCTCCTCCCCGAGGAGAAGATGACGAGCAGTCTTATTCCAAGGTAAGCGTCGGGGAACATTTCCCAGTGACAGGTCACTACACGCTGGACAACGCCATCTTGTGTTTTTTCCTCTTATCGCCGACCCTCGGGGCGAACCGGATGGTTCCTCCGGGGCAAGGCGTGCTCAGCTGCAGCCCCCGCTGCTCATTCCCTCCTGGGGAGCGTAGTGTAGGTGGAGGGGGGCTGAGTGAATGCTCACCCCATCCCACCTCGTTTCGCATCGGCGATCACACCGCTCCCGGCCGACAGCGCCCTCAGGGGTTGCCCGGCGGAAGCCAGGAGGAGGCTGACATGAAGGGACCCCCTTTTTTCTACGTCCCTCGCCTTTTCCCGCCAGTTCGGATGATCGGCGGGAAGGTTGTTTTCACTGGGCTCCACTGTGGCTCACCGTCTTGATCCATACGGCCTCGCGTTCCAACAGGACGTTCGACGGGCGAGGCCACAGATGGTTCTTTCCTGGTAGATTAGAGGAGTCGGTGCCCAGTCCGCTCCCATCACCAGAGTTGAGGGATTCACCGAGCGGGGCTATTCCTCGGTAACCCCCCCTGGAGCCAAGCCTCGCGGAAGCTTCCGGAGCGAAGCTGCCCAGGTCGGAGCAGCGTCCCATCCCTCCGGAGGAACACGAACCAGACGGCGACCACGCTCTCCAATCGAGCCCACCGATGTGTTTTCAGGCAGCCGCAGTTAGCAACAACGTGCGCTGCTAGCATATAGCATGTCCAAGGGACTGAAGGCC